CTAAGCATTACGTTTCCGTGAAAATTCATCCAGCAGAGATAGAACTACTGCTGATGACAGTAGCGTTTCAGCACATTTCAGGATGATAAGAAGCTTGGGGACTTTACTACTGCAAGATAATCTCACCCCAGATTCCCTTCTCCTTACCACCTTCTCATATATATTTTTTTCAATAATATTCTAGGTTCTGTTGTCAAATTTGTTAGGAAGGGTAAGGAAAGCCTTTTTCAAGTCATCTCCTCGGCCATTTGTATTTATTAAATTAGTTACTATTTGTACAGCACTTTGACAGTATCATGTTATGTTCAGCATGAACGCATATTGTAATACAAACTATTTACATCACGCATTATAATAGAATTCCTTACATCAGCAGCAGCAGCAGCTCAACCAGGTTGTTTGGATTGTAATACCGCAAGCTATTTAAAAAAAAAAAAAAAAAACCAAAGCACTGCACTTCCAGTCACTGCTTTTTAATGGTCTTGCCGGCCTGATGATCTCTTGATGTGTGTCAGGGTTGACAATGTGTTAGATTTCACAACTTTCACCAATTCCTAACCCACAAGCCTGCTCTTAAAAGAGCAAGTTCCAAAAGGCTCATGTATATAATTTATGTTACAACCCATGCGTTAATCATGACTGTTATAATTTTTTAATTTTTTAATAAAATGTATTGGCTGCCCATTTTACCATAGGGTAACTCTGGGAGGCTTACAGTCGTAAAAATGTTTCTGTGCATATACCGTATATTAAAACATAAAGTAAAACCAAACATTAAAATCTTTAGAACACATGGGGAATGTGGGGGGGAAGTGGGATCGGTTGTTACGCATTCAGCCATCTCTGTTGTACTGTTCCCAGTGGTGGGATTCACATCTTTTTTAATACCAGTTCCATGGGTGTGGCTTGGTGGGCATGGCAGGGGAAGGATACTGCAAAATCCCATTCCCTCCCCACCCCACTAGCCTGCTTTCCATCTCTGTTCTCCTATGCAGGGCAACAAAAGAAGACCCAGCCGATCAGCTGGGACTCCGGAGGCAGAGAATAGATGGTGGCAGGGCCAGTCAAAGGTGGTATTTGCCGGTTCTCCAAACTGCTCAAAATTTCTGCTACTGGTTCTCCAAAACTGGTCAGAACCTGCTTAATACCACCTCTGACTGTTCCCCCCTTTGGGGCCCCAAACCAGCTGGCAGAGCCATGTGTTTAGGATAGGAGAATTGGGGCCAACTTCACATTTGGGAGGCAAGATAATCCATGGTGGCTGACCAATTTTAGTTTTAAAAAATACCAAATTGTTGTGTGGATCTCTTAATAGAATCTGAATCTCCACTAAGAAGGTTCAAAATGCTGAAACCCCAACAGGATCAACAGGATCTGTGCTAATTGCTCCATTTGAGGTTCAAGCTCTGGAACTGGCAGTTAAAAGCTTTCATAGTTTGCAGGTTTAGGCAAACTTCCTTTCTGAAACATTAGAAAACAGGCCACATGAAGTAGTAGGCTAAAGTGACCACATTACAGAGAGAAGAAGACACTTGAATGAGTATGAATGAGTAGTGTTCCCTCCACCCAAGATCCATCTAATCCATAATATCTGTCTAACAATGGTTAGTCCTATGTTTCCAAGAAGAGTCAAGCAGATAACTTCCTTTCAAAATATCCCACTGTCAATTCAACACGCGCCTGTATGCACGCACACGCACACACACTTGTAGCAGTACATTGAGCATGCACTATAGCTATTTCATGGGGAGAGATGGACTATTTTGATCATATTGGAAATGTTTTGAAGTAGCATGTTACACACTCAAAATAGTTCTGTTGCACCCAGGGGTATTTCAGATTTGAAAAATTTTGCACTCTCGTGATTCTGTCTCTGTTTTCACTACCTAAAATGGCTATGTGGAATAACTGAAACTGAGATAAAATATTGAAAGGATCTCGGAGGATTAATGAATCTTACACCTGAGTCATTGGGCTTAGATCTTACATTTAGTGTTTGAGGCAATCTTACGTTGCGCATCAGTTGCTGAACAACAATAAAGGGAGGGTGCATTTTTTTCACCTTCAAAATGTTGGCTTTCCACAGTCTAAGATGAAGGAAAAGGTTGACTTTCTGCGTGATCAGCACAGCTCTAAAGTGCTCTCGAGGCAGTTAAATATGTATTAGCCAAACCTGAAATATTCAGTGCAATTACTTTTTCACACACTATATAATTTAGTCATGGCTGCTGTTTTATAGGTGGTGTAAAAAAAAAGGGGGAGCCAGCAATGGATACATCAGTGTTAAAAAGAAAGTCACACCCATTAGTGCTGGCCATATATGGAACATTCTTGGAATTGTTCAGAAGATGTAAAGGAAAGATAAATCATTCTCTAGGTCTTTAATGAGATTGACCAAAGAGAGAAACAATTCAATTAAGAAGAATTCAAGGAAGACAGCTTCCAAGCTTTAGGGATGCCCCTGGTGTTGGCCATATATTTAGTGGGGTGTGGGGAGAAGAGCTGAGCTGAGAAATGAAAGGATGGAGATGACTGAGTTTAAAAAATTGCAGCTGAGAAGACTTAAGTGTAGGAAATGTCAGCAACTCTGAATCAAGCAAGATTAAGCAGAAGAAAGGCTTGTCTGTCAATGAAAACCAGACACATGATATTCATAGAAATGACATCCTGAGGCATAGGAGGAATGTTGTTGTCTCTGTAAAGTAACCTTCCCATCATTAACAATATGAGACCCGTTTTCATTTGGTTAGCACAGTATGTACCTTAGCCCTTCATTCACCATTGAAAGACATTTTGCTGCAGGCAAATATCAGTGCCATGGACCAGAAAACATCCTCTGTTTTTTTTCCACCTTCCGTATTTCTATTTCGGAGGAAGTTGAACTCTCAGGGCAAAGAAAATCAGTGGATTTTTCAGCTGGGAAATGAGAATAGAAAGAGAATGTGATGTTTCAAACATCACTTGACAATGTCTTGTTCCTGGCAGATAATCATTTTGGCTGCTCCGGAAAATAATATTTATTCCACCTCATTTTGCACGATAGTGATAGCAAAGCAGGTTTTTCCATTTCCAGAAGTATGTGACTGAGCCGGGCATGCATTTGTAGATACTTGTTTTGCCCTTCCCAATCACATTTTCCTATCTTTTAGCTTGCTCTTTTCATTGTCACTGCCTTTTCTTTTCCTGCTTCCTTTGTTATACCTATCTGTGGTGTAGGAGACGTAGTCATTTCTCTGCAGTATGCCCAGATGATCCATGAAGGCATCAAGAGGGAGATGGTACCCGATTCGGCCTCTAGTCCAAAGTTGATGAATTGCAGCAGTTTGGGAAGCTAGTATCGGCTTCTCTTTGATGCCAATTTTTGCACCACCCTCTAAGCAACCCAGACTGTTTTGCTGCTCATGGATTGCATTTGGAGCAAAGGATTGCCCCCCCCCCACAACTTAGAAAGCATTGACAGACAAAGTGGCAAAGCAGATGTTGTCAAGGGACAGAGGCTGATCTGAAAAGGAAAGGGTTTGGTGACAGCTTGAAAAGGCTCTGGGGGGGGACGGACAGAAGCTGCATTCTGTCTATGCTCTCCTCTTGCAACGCTAAATATCCCTTCCAGGGGCTTTTGATTTATATCATGTCAGCTAGGGAGGGAAAGCAAGAAGTTAGCAGTACAGTTTAGTCGAATGCCATTAGTGCCTCCTCCCAACCCCCTTTTAATTCATTGAGCAATCAGCCATGCTAGGAAGGTGTGGTTCCCCATGCAGCGAAATTACTCTGGCCAAGCAGTGATACATCTTGCAGAGTTGTCATTCGCCTTATGCCGGAGCAGCAAGCCCGATAGACTTGTCACATTTTTTAATATCAGCGGATGCCACTACTTAAGGGTGTGAGTGTATGGTTGTCTCGTGCTCTGCAGAATAATAGCAAGCAACCTTTCACTGGCTTCAGCCACTTTATTGATCGATAGAATATCTGCTATGAAGTGTGGGCTTTTAGCCACTTGCTGGGATGAGGGGGAGGAGGTTTAGCAGAATGAAACGGGAAATGTGATAAATGAGTCCTCTGTAGCTTACCACACCCATACTTGCAGGTATTGTGTAAGATTGCCTACAGGTGGCCTCCAAATTCTAAATAGGCCTATGTAACCCAAAATGTTTTATTTCTCAACAACACCGAAATGGATCTTACACCCAGATTTGGATCTCTTGTTGTATTTATTTGAACAGAGATAGAGTTAAGCATAAGAGCCAGTAATCAGGAAAGAGTAAATAGGCTAGTTGGAAAGCTTGGGCACTTGCCATCAGATGGTTTGTGTTCCTGCCACAGTAGGATTATAAATAGAGATTATAATTTGGCTTTTGAGATAGAATTTTCTGAAAATCTCCCTAAATTTGGAAGAGTAATCTGGTCCATAGCTTAGGTAAAGTTTGGCCTATTTCCAACTAATCCTAACTTTCATTATTCCTCCCATAACATTTCTCCATAAGTGTAATTCAACACTGTTTAAACTTTCTAATTTCTACTTGGTTTATATTTAGTAATGTTAAAAAATAATCTTGGATTTAAATTTTGTCCTTTATATACTTTATTATACTCTTCTTACTATCCAGTACTATTTGGGATGAAAAATTAATTGCTCATCTGCTTATCTATCTTAATTGCTTATCTTTTGAAGGAAAGATAATAGTAATATGTTTTAAGGAGACAGCAGTTGAGAAACAGATTGAGAGCCAGATTTAGGAATTGGAATGCAACTGCCCAATTCAGCTTCCAAATACAAAAACATTGGTGGGTCTTGGTTTTATAACAGTGGTAGAGCTCAATTTCTCCAGAGCCAGAGGCCTTGTATCCCAACCAACAAAAAGTTTGTACAGAGAAGCAGAGCTTAGCCAGAGGGAAGTTTATAACTGGAAGTGGTACTAGAGAACGAGAGAGAAACATTATATAACACAAAGAAAAGTAGGATCTTCATCTACATCTAAAATTATTTTGTTCTTCTTTTACAGACACTAAACAAGAACAATTTAATACCAGATGACAGGACCAACTTCTATCCTTTGCAACAAACAAATGTGTACACAACAACCTATTATCCCAGTACACTGAATAAATACGACTACAGGCCTGAGGCCTCCCCTGGAAGGACCTTTACTAATAGCTGATGACGATCTGCCTAAGAACTGGATTACTTCCTATATGATTTTTATTTTTAAAATTGAGTTTATGGACCAAATATTGGCCCAATCTATAGATGTAAATATTATAAGTGGGCCTTTTATTTTCTCTCTTATTGGTGGTCTTACTTTCAAGTAGCACATCTCCTTAAGTGGATCTTCTGCTTATGGATAATGGGTGGTCTAGGATATTTGACAAGTATTCAGCTAGAGATAGCAGATCCTGTTATGGATATCACAGTTTGAGTTGTCCCTTTGGTGTCTGATACCAAGATAATCCTGGAACCAGCCCTAATGTGCTAAGTTTGTGTGGAATGATATGACTACCCAGTACAACTTCAGAAGTTCTGTGGACATTGGAAGACAAATCCTAGCAAAGCGCTGAGACTTATTCTTCATATGCCTACAGGTTAATAGTATTAGGAACATCATTCATCCAGACAGACTTGTGGAACACCATATTCAAGAGTTTGGCTTTTAAGCTTCAGGATCATCAGTATTTTTTGTGACATGGCGACATATATGCAAGTAACCTTTAATGGGAAAAATCCTGTCCGATTTATAAAACAAATGAGATAACTTCACGCAAGAGAAATGTTTTGAAACATTTCTGAAGCAAAGTGGTAAGACTTTTAAGTTTGGATACATGAAGCATGGGCTTTGGATACACAAAAGATGGTTGATTCTCCTGGACAATATGAAGAGAGTGAAACAAGAGCCATGGAAGATCCTGATAGAAACTTTTCTCTTCTTGCTTTGATTCCAGGAGATTCTTAAGACACCATTGGACTGATGGCCCTCTGCCCTTGTTGAAATTACCAAGCTTTGTGCTAGTGCTGATTTTATTTTTTATAATTTTTTATTCACTTGAACAAAGAAAAGAATATTGATTTCAGTATGTCTCTAAAGAATGTCTCCATAGTGTAGCCTAACCCAGAAAGCCTACGGCAAAGTCCTTTAGTGTCTTCCAGCCAAGAAAGAAATACAGTGTACATCAGTAGCTGCCATTGTTCACTAGTATTGGAGCAAGAAAGATAATTATTCTGCTCCAATTAAAATAAACTGGGGTCTGTAGCATTTTGAAACAATCCAGTCCAGCCTTGAAAGATTATCTTTTATGCTTTGTTAGACCAATGCGTCTAGTCATGTCATTTTGGGCTAGATGAGTCTCTTGTTAATGATACTTTCTCATCATCTAATGTATAAACTCTTGGTGCTAAGCAATGAAGATGGCCGCAATATATATAGCATGTGATAAGAATGTAAGCCAGTTCCTACATGAGTTCTGATCTGTTTGCTGTTTATGGGTTGTCTGTGCTTTAAGCCATTGGTTTCCAACTCAGGTTGACTAGCATTGAACACAGAATGGGCAGCTGCTGGTAGGACCTTCAAAATTATCTATTGAAAGAATTGTCTGAGAGGGGGGCACAGTCTAGACCCTACATCCAAGCAAGAAACCCAGACTAATAAGTGACTCTAAAATGACTCAGGATGCTGTTTTAAAGTGAGAAAATGATCCAGGGCTGATACCAGCATCTCATTCTACCTTATAGAATCAGAAGTCATAAAACAAGCATTAGTGCCTAAGCTATGAAAAACCCTGGCTGAGTGCATGGGACAGATATGATTTAGTGATTTAGGTAGGATGTCCTCTATGGATCTTTCTGTTGGCTAATGAAAGAGAGAGTGATTGGGCAGTCAAATTGCTACAGGCTCCTAACCCAAGCTAGGCCCTTGTAGGAAGGTATGTCAGGTTCCTGTGAGGAGCACACTGTGTATAGTTCACCAGCAGAAGCTGCTGCTTGTGCAGATCTGTAATCATTGGGATACTTGTTATTAACTAATTAACACTTGAGGTCTGTAAGAAATCGTTGGATCAAGGCCAGAGTGAAGCATTGTTTCAGACAGAGTTCCATTTTTTGCAAGAATTCATTTCACAGAGGTGACTGCAAATTAAGTATTCATTATCCTGTTGTTTTGCTTGATTTTTATTTTATTTTTTATTTTTTGCCATGAGGGGATCCAGGTGGATTTCAGTGACTTTAAATAGTGGGTTTTCATTCTCTTACATATTTTTCTTCTTCTTCAGATACCAGAAATCATGGCATGTTTCAGGGCAGGGATATTTTTATGTACTCTATTGCAATTCTTTCTTCCCAGGGACCCAAATGTGAAAAATGATAGGCTTTCAAAAGTAAGAACCCCCATTCTTAAATCAGTTGCACATGCTGCTGAAAAGAAGAAAATCAAGGAAAGCAGCGGGTTAAAAGTAATCAGAGCTATTACCGCGCAGCGTCTGCTTAAGCATGCCATTTTTTCTAGCCCGCGTTAATGCTCCCTAATTCACAGGGAAGGCTATTGACAGGAACATTCTTCTCTCTCCAATGCCTTTATGCTTTAGGTACAGGCTGCTGGTGTTCTTGGTGATCAGTCCTTTCCCCTGTGGAGGGATTGTCTAAATGCTTGATTTTCCATGTGCTGACTGCAATACTAGCCCAATGGGAATTCCATGCACTTTGCAAACGTTTTCCCGGAAAAACAACAACAAAGCTCTGGCCCCTCGGTGGGACAACCAGATCGTCTTGCCTTTGATGTGGCAATAGGCCCACGTGTGTTGAGGTGTACGTCAGCCTTTTGCTGCATGAGAAGAAAAACCACCTCGGAGCATTCCCACGCTGACCAGATCATTCTTCAGTGCTGCCCAGAAAGCTGCTTGGAAACCCCAGCCCGGTAAAGGAAACCCCGGGGGGAAACGTTGGGGGGGGGGTGTGCGAAATAATGAAATCGAATTTTAAATTACATTAAATGCAAGCTTCTGGGACCTGGGTCTTAATATTCTTATGGTCAGGCATGAAGGAGATGTTCGCAAAAGTCTACTATTAAAAAAGCACTAGAACGAAAGCCAAATGGATTAAAAGCCTTCCCAGTTCTTACCCTTGATAATTTCAGCCGCCTATTTGGGTGTCTTTAGGTGGCATCTGCAAAATCTAACCAAGCAGCTGTGAAAACTAGTTACTAAAGCTAGTTATAACTAATAGTTATTCCAAAGGGCTGTACAGAGTCCGAGTAAGTGGCTGAAGGGAGCACCGCAGCCATTCAGATGTTTAGAAGTGAGATTTGAAACTTTTCACTAATTCTGATCTTCACTTAACAGTTTGTTTCCTTCATTAGAGAGGATTGGAAGAGCGAGTAAGTTTTCATATTTGGATAGGACAGTCTATTAACACCTTTCTTTTTCATAATTAACTTCTGTGATCTTTTGGGTGTGAGAAATTATTGCTATACGTGTTTCATTATGGTTCATTGTCTTATTACATTAGCTTTTAATAGGTATGGTTTTTAGAGATTTGGCAATTTGCTATTACACACTCTGGTTCAGCAATTCCTTACTGGCAGCTCTAAAAACTTTCTTCCCAGAAGAGCTGATTCGTTTAAATGGAATTGACAGCTCCTGCTGTTGCCATTCTTCCAAGGAAGCCATATTGACAGGAGAATGTGAAGTGCGCATCTTGGAAAGCCTTCCAGGTTCTGAATTGGAGCCAAAGGGTCCAGGGAGTCAAAGGAAGAAGAGCTGATCAGCCTGTTACAAGATTGTCCTTCAACGGTTTCTCTGTGTTCCTGTGGTTTTCTTCAGTGTTTGTCTTCTTCCATCACGATAGGAATACAGAGCATGTTTACACTGATAAAGCAACCAAGCTTCATCACAACTCTATGCCAACCATGTACTTACTCTGCTGCCTATTTCTGCCAGGGCACCAAAATGCAATGTGGGTCATTTGTGTTGTCTCTTCTCTAACTCGAGGAAATACGGTCTCCTTTGCTGAACTGTCGTGACACCATCCTGAACTGCCCACCGGTCTAGAGACTGTTCTGGAGCTCGATCCTGAATTGACTGCTGGGAGTTCATTTGATGTGTATTGTTCTTAAATAAAGAGGCCTCCTATCATGGGATTAAGAAAAACTTGGAGAAGGAAATGTCATTCCAAGGGAGAATGCATATTTCTATGACTCACCCACATCTGAGATACACATGTATACCTATTGCCTTATTATTTTTTTTAGAGAATGATACATTAAATTAAGATCTATATAAGAAGTGGGAATGATTTGAATTCTATTCAAAGCATAATTTAGGACTATAATTTCCTAGCATTATGAAATCTATTGTGACACAAAGATCATTCAGAGTTTAATCTGTGTAATCATTACTCACACTGAATGTGAATTTTTCTTACCCGTGCAAACTATAAATGCCATGAAATCCTCTTATTCAAACACTGGTAAATATATTGTTATATATTTATAACAGAAATGTTATATATTTACTGCTGAATGTCTAAAAATAAATTTAGAATAAAGTGAAAAAGAAAAAACAGAAAACGGCAGCACTAGACTTTCCTGATAGTGTTAAAGGAAATCCTCCCCCAGCAAGATTTTAACAAAAACTTGATTTTTCATAGATCAATGATTTTTTTCATTGTTGAATGAAAATTGAAAAGTTGACTTTTTAACTAGAAATGTTCATCTTCCCCTGGAAAAAAACAAAACCATTCCTGTTCAGAATGGCAAAGTAAACAATGTTTGTATTTGCTCATACTTTATGAATAAACAGCCCAAATTTACTTAGTACTTTGTTGCTGTTGTCTTAATTATCAATAGAGGTGAAGCTAGAACGACAAAGTTAACCATTCAAGCTTCTTTCCCATTTTGTTTTTGTTGTTCTGTCGCAGACAGCTATGGCGTTATGCAATCTCACTTGGCATGCAAAGTTGACCCAGAAGAGTCAAGTCACGGTATTAGTTGGGTGATCACTTTCTTTGGTTTGCTGTACCCATAGGCAGCCATTCAATGCTGCCTGTTGGGAGATGTATTTGACAATGAGTGGGGTATGAGTGTGCAGTGAAAGCCGGTTTGGTGTGATGGTTAAGGGATCAGATTAGAAACCAGGAGGTTCGTGAGTTCTAGTCTTGCCTTAGAGCTGGCATCTCAAACTTGCGGCATCACATCATGTGACGTATCGCAACTTTTTTCCTCTTTGCTAAAGTGGGAGTGGGCTTGGCCAGCGCGTGACGTATCTGGCTTGTGGGCCACAATTTTGACATACCTCCTTAAGATGAAGACAATTTGAGTGACCTTGGGCCAGTTTGTTTCTGTCAGCCCTAGGACAGAGTTAAGGAAAGGCCATTTTTGAAATCTTGCCAAGAAAACTAAGGGATTAATCCAGGCAACCATTAGGAGTCAAGAACAGAACAGAACAGAACAGAATAGAACTTTACTGTCACTTTAAATGTACACTAATCAGCAAACATTAAAATGAAATTTTGTTGCATTCACCTCTCAAAGGATAATCATGCATATGCCCACATACATGCACATATATGACACAGAGAAACATCACAATCTGACTTGAAGGGACAAGGAAAAAAGTGTCTGTGCACATTACCTGTGTCAATAATGAGACAAATGTAGGGAAAGGCAGTTGAGGCAGTTTTAGTTATATTGAATATTGATGATAAGGTGTGGTCTCAGTTGCAAAAAGTTAAACCATCATCAAGCTGGTTGTCTGATACAAACCTTTATTCCTGTGCTAACAGCTAATATACTTCTCTGTGATTAGAAGGAAAACCAAAGGTGAGACTTTTGTTCTCTCTACTAAAGAGCTAGTAGCAGTAACACTTTTAAAAACACATTCAGACCCAGTTTACTTAAATCTGCAAACATAGATCAGCGCTTCTGAGTCTCAGCAATTTTAAGAAGTGTAGACCTCAGCTCCCAGAATTCTGGCTGGGGAATTCTGGGAATTGAAGTCCACACATCTTAACATTGCTGAAATTGAGAAAACATTGATCCATAGTGACACAAAATGAGTGAACTAAATAACACAGTGACACAATTTGCACAGTACATTGGGCTATGAAATGAGCTTTACTTCCGGTTTAGCAGTTTGACCTCAGTTACTGTGCCTTAGAAATGACTTGTATTATGAAAAGTATGATAGCTTGATGTGATATTTTAATTTCCCCTTGAATATCACCCCCCCCCCCAAAAGGCAGTGTGAATTAGTTTTGGAAATTTAGGCCAGAAACAAATATCTAGGGAAGATGGAGTGACATTGTGTGCATCATGATGTTGTATGCAAATGACATGGATTACCTATTTACTTTATTTGCAGAAAGATGTCATGATTCGCATAACCTTTTGACATAATTGTGGTTTATCAGATTTCTGGGACCAGAAATGCAAAGCAATACATCTAAGCTATGTTTTAGTATTATAGATCCTCATTAGAAAACAAGGGCATTTCTATTTAAAGATTTACACCCTACGTATGTTTGCCTGAGATAGAACACATAAGAGGACAATTTTTGCAAGCTTGTGTGTTAATTTCAGTGCAATCAGCAGGTTCTGTGCATCTAAACCATTGTGGTTCCACTTTTATTATCTCATTGGAATTCATATAGAAAAATCCTGTGGCTCTGAAAGATATTATTTTTATAGATTAATATTTTAAAGTAATAACGGTTTCCAGAAGATAGCAGTGTAAAAACACATCTCATGCTGTCTTCAAAACTGAAGACTATTTTCATCAATTGCATGAGGTTTTATCTCAGAAATAGTTTTTGTTGCAATAGTTCAGCCTTGGAAAATAGGAGAAAAGAGTTTTAACCATTGCTTGGCCCAGCTCCCACCCATTCAAAGTATGGCAAAGGGAAGAAAACAGAAATATGACTCGTTTTAGCTACAGAGTGTCCTCGATTTAACAACCACAATTCAGCCCAGAATTTATGTTGCAAAGCAAGACAGTTGATAAGTGAGTTGCACTGCATTTTATGACCTGTTTTATTTTATTTTTGTTAAGCAAATTATTGCAGTTAAGTGAATCACTCATGTAGTTGTTAAGTAAATATGGCTTCCGCCATTGACTTGTCGGAAACCAGCTGAAAAGTTTACAAATGATGATCACATGGACCCAGGATAGTGCAACTGTATAAATACATGCCAGTTGTCAAGTGCCCAAATATTGATCACATGACCATGGGAATGCCGCAATAGCATGAAAAACAGATAAGTCACTTTTTTCAATGCCATTATAACTTTGAATGGTCACTAAACGAGTGGTTGCAAGTCAAAGACTACTGTTCTGTATACTTACTAACTTACTTAGCAAAACCAAGTTCAACGTATTAACTCTGTTACTATAGAATGAATTTACTATATGTTTCAGCATAATGGAAGTGAATGTTTTGGTGAGCCACAAATATTTTCCACCATTTCTGAAGTGAAGATTCTCTGCCTATATAAATTGATAAATGTAGGGACAGTAAATTGATAAAAAAGGACAGTTCTCGAAAGTATCAAGACAGCGCTGACAAGGAATATGTTTCAAGGTTACATGGAGGCTAGAAAAGTACTCCATAAGTAACACAAATAAAAAGGTGCATGTAGAAAAATGAAAACAAGTTTGAAAACAGTGAGCTTTCCCACTCAGTATTTAAATGGAAAAATACAGTACCTGAAATTGGATCCGATCTATTTTCAGAAGAAGAAATAAGATCATCCATATTCCTATTTGTTTCTGCAACTAAAACAAATAGGAACGACTATCTGTTGAATTATATAAATACAAACAAAAGTAGATAATGACTTGTGAAACAGACGGGAAAATACTCCAGCCTGATGTAGAGGCATTGAAGAGGTTGTAAAAGTCCTATTAGTATAAGGTGACATAACCACAGCCGTTAAACGCTAAATTATGAGAAAGAGCTGGAGCTCTCCCTCTGGCTCATTTTATTTATTATGGAAAGAATACTTCAAACAGAAAATCCAGCCACACTGCTAAACTCCAGATTTTGTTGACTGTAAAAAGACCAGAATGTTTCAATTCTGTGTTAAACAATGGTATATTCAAAATCTGTTTTGCTTTGTTAGAGATAAATTTGTATTTAAACCACATAGTGTCATATCCCATTGGAGCCCAGTTCAGAGGAGGAAAAGTTGGAACGGAGACAGTCCAACAGAAATGGCATGTCTCCCTTGGCATGTTTAGAGAAGCCAGGGGCTGAGGACAATGCTGTCCTCAGGCCCCTCAGGCATAGGGGAGGCGGTTGACCACATGGAGAGTTCGACCAGACAGACAGCTGCCTGCACAGACACAGGAGAGGATCACTTGCTGACAGGCAGTGGTGCTGATAGACCTCTGATGAGGAACAGCTGCCTCCTCCACTCGATCCAAGGGCACGGAGAGTTGAGCATAGGCAAGCCCAGAGAAGGGCTACAAAGCTATTCTGGTGGAGGTTGACTCACCCCTCCTCATGAGGAACACCTGGAATGGAGTAATTTAAGGAGAAGCAGTGGAGAGTTAGTCTTTTTCAGGAACAAATGTTTGTTTGGGATTATACTTCCTTGGCTTTGGCTTGTGCCTTTTTGGCCTTGCTTTGAGGACTGCCATTTGTCTTATGCCTGGACCTCGCTTTGTGGACTTTCCTGGTAATATATGGACTGTTGTTTGGGGGACTGAATAGAATAGAATTCTTTGTTGGCCAAGTGTGATTGGACACACAAGGAATTTGTCTTGGTGCAAATGCTCTCATTGTAAATAAAAGAAAAGATACATTCATCAAGAGTCCAGAATCACAAGGTACAACACTTAATAATAGTCATAGGGTACAATAAGCAATCAAATCATACTAGGAAACAGTCCATATAAATCGTAAGGATACAAGCAACAAAGTTACAGTCATACAGTCACAAGTGGGAGGGGGTGGGTGATAAGGAGTGATGAGAAGATTAATAGTAATAGGAGTGCAGACTTTGTAAATAGTGTTGAGGGAATTATTTGTTTAGCAAAGTGATGGTGTTCGGGAAAAACTGTTCTTGTGTCTAGTTCAGTGGTTCCCAAACTTTTTCAGTCCACCGCCCCCTTGGTGCTACAAACTCATCCTCCATGCCCCCCACCCAGGGGTAGGATTCAAATTTCTGTGGGCATGGCCTAATTTGAGGGTGTGGTTTGCTGGTCACGTGATTGGGTGGGTGTGGTTTGCTGGTCACGTGATTGGGTGGGCATGGCTTGCTGGTCATGTGACTGGTGTTGTGGCTTGCTGGTCACGTGAGTGCGGTTTGGTGACTGGCAAACCAAATACAAGTGGTCCTCACTTAATAGCCAGTTGCTTAGCAAGTGTTCTAATTTATGACTGGCCTCCGCAGAACTACTTGACCTGTTTTTGGAGTTTTGACAGCCATGCACACATATATACACATACTCCCTTCCAACCCTGCTGGAGCAGGTCATTGGACTAGAATCGGCAAAGCATCTCTGATTAGATTCTAGTAGTGAATAGAATCTAATCAGAGATGCTTTGCCGATTCTTCTAAAGTGCACTAATTTGCATTGTATTTCAGCCACAACTTTCCTGAGAACTTTAAAAACAGGCCCTACTTTATATACCCATATGTTCAGAGGCTAAGAATCTGAACACAGGATTTTATGCTGCAGCACCACACAGGTTTAATAAAGTCTCCCACAAACATTCTGTTTTGGATCAGGTTAAAAATGGGTTGAATTTAATGTTACTATAGCAAATGAAAAGGGCAGGCTATAATAAATATCAAT